AACACTGCCAGGTTAGATGCCATGGGGTAGTGATGGATAATGGCTATGTCTTGATTCTTGAGGAACCATGAATTCACTGCGGCATGCCTTGGGCATATGTGGGCCTTGCCCATGTGTGAGGTTTCTCTGGAAGAGGAAGGGAGAAGGTATGTGGTTTATAAAGCTCTTCTGATTGCAGCAGACACATTTGAACAAGTCAGCATTGGCTTTCCCAGGCAATATGGTCTACAGGTTAGAGAAACTGCATCTTGATTTCAGGGACTTTGGATTTTGGGAGGCAGCAAAGGAAGTATTGGTTGGTCCCTGGAATTGAGCTATTACACACAGTCTCCACCTTCTGGAGGACTCAGAGATGAATGACAGAATTATAAAGTCACAGCATGGGGCAGGTAGAATCTTAGTGGCCTAGTTCAACTTTCTGGTGTTTGCAGTTCCTCTATAACATCTAGGACAAATAATCTAACTGAACCCTTTCAGTGATAGGAAACTCACTTCCTCTGTGGCATCTCATAAAGCTGGACAATTTTTCCAATCAAAGCCCTTCTCAAGCGTCTCATTCCAACCTTTGCATGGTTGCTCACCTATCAGCACAATTTTACTTTACTCCATGGCTCTCAAGGATCTCTTTGTTAGGGACAGGCCTTTCTATAGTGTGAGGGGTTTTTGTAGTTTTGGGACCCTTTCTATACTTAGGGATCTTCTTCCTCTGCAGATTTTTTCACTCCTCCAAATATTCTTATCCAATTGTTCTCAACCATAACTACCCACTGGAATAACTCAGGGACTTAAGAATAATTCTTATGCCCAGGCTTTGCTAAATCATACTCTTAGGGGGTGAAACCAAAGGACTGGTACTTTTAAAGCTCACCAGATTATTCTACGGTGAAGCCAAGGTGGAAAGCCACTGCTTTAATCTCTGAACCTGGTTACTTCCTTGAGGATCATGCTATGGAGCCAGACATCCTACATTTGAATCCTGACTCTACCAGCTGAGCAATTCTGTTTTTGTTTTCTCATCTGTTATGTGAAGATAATAGCAGTACCTACCTGAAAGAGCTGCTTAAAGGATTTAATGAGAACACATGTCAATCTAAAAGTCTCTGGCATATAATAAGTGTCCTTATAAAGTTGAACACAAAGCCTAGCACAGGCCTAGAAAATAGTGACAAAGTATTTGTGCTCTTACAATGAGTCAGGTTTAGTTCTAAGCACTTTACATGTATTATCCAAAATATTTTGTTGAAGATTTAGCCTAAGAGAAATGACATAAGCAAAATGTATCTTCAGGACTTTTTACCTGGTAGGATTCATTGACCAAAACTACCCATTTAACTTATACCCTGGTGAATTTCTTGTACCCTTTGTTATCCCATATGGTTTCTTGCTGCCTGTCAAATCTCTTAAAAAGCTCTTCCACAAAAGTTCTGTACATTTCAAAGCATCTAAGGTGACTAAGAACTCATCAATGGTCAATCCAATTTTTTGTTGCTTCTTGTCAAGCCTAATGCCTACTAATGAGCTAGGCATATAAGATGCCCAGTAAATTCTTTGTACAATCAGTGAACTCATCTGATAAGAGGCTATGCTACTATAGATGTGCAAAAAATGGTGGAGAAAAACTGAATTCAAGTGAATGGGAATGTTGAGATAATAGCCCTACAAAATACCTACTATGTGTTAGACATTTTTCATGCATCATGCATTTTTATGACAACCCTATGAGGTGAGTATTCAGATAAATCTCTCACTATGTAACAAGTTACCCCAAACCTTAGTCTTTTTATTTGTTTATTTGTTATTTTGCTTGTGAATTTGTAATTAGGTGGGGATATAGCAGGGGCAGCTTCTCTCTTCTTTGAGATGGCTAAGTAGGGGACTGGAGTATCTACCTACAAGATAGCTCACTCATGTCCTCTGGCTAATAGGGAACCATCTCAGGGGGCCTCGGCCTCTCACTTTCAGCCTTCAGCTAGCTTTGGGTTGAATGGGTTGGAATAGAAAACTCTTGTAATGAGAATGCAGCTCTCCATCTCAGCCTCTCCACTCCTCATTCCAATGGGAGCCGTGTCTGTGCTTGGGGAGAAGCCAAGCAAAGCAAAAGATTTCAACAGAGAACGGAGGAAACACACCCACTGAGGTTCTCATAGCAACATAATCACGCACAGGCAGCAGCCTATTTCGGTGGGAGCTTGTTTCAGCTCCCCTCCTCCCTGGTTGGTCACAGAATGGATGCACAAGCTGAAGCATTGTGGGGTTGGGGGGTAGTGTTGGATGAAGAACTGGGGAGCTGGTGTTAGATGCTCCATTAGCTTGCTTGAGGATGATGGCCAAATGTCTTCCTCTCTCTGACCTCAGGGTCCTTGTCTGAAAAAAGAGAGGCTTGGGCCAAAGAACTGTGAGAATCCTTTCTGCTCTGATTTTCCTTGCTTGTACAAGAACTGAGATTCTTGTTTGGGGATCAGATGTCTCCCAGAATCTTCTGTCTCTGAGAAAGACTCTCAGAGAAATTGGGGCACAAGAGGGTGAAAGTCATTCTCTAGATTCACCTCCTTTCTCCTCCTCCCACTTTCCACACTGCTGACTAGATGTGAAGAGAAAGGGGAAAGATCAGATGCCTCCAAACACTCTGCTCACTCCCACTCTAATCCAGGTCTGCGATCTGAGGAAAGAAAAGGTTAAGATGATTCTTTTATTTAAATTTACTCCTCCCTAACACACACAAGACATTCATTAACTCAGTCACTCAAGCCTCTTGTCCCATCCTATTTTCACTCTTGGGAGCTCTGGTAGCATAGTGGCTAAGACACTTGCCTGCTAACCAGACGGCTGGCGGTTCAAACCCACTAGCCACTCCTCAGAAGGAAGGTTGGGCAATCCTACTTCCGTAGTGATACTGCCTCAGAAACCCAAGGAGGAGTCACTATGAGTCGGGCCCGAGTGGGACCGACTCGACGGCAAACAACAATTTTCACTCTTCACCCTTCCTCTCCCAGTAGCATCACTAGGGGGATGCAGGGGGTGTGGACCACACCAGGTGACACTGTCGGAAGAGGTAACACCAAAATGAGTTTCTATAAAATTTTTGTGCAGTGTTTCAGCAGAACTTTATTATTTTTTTAAAATAAAAATATCCCCGTAGTTAGTTATAACAACAAAAACATTTTTTTATAAGCCCATCTTACATTATCTATATACCTACAAGGCTAAAATTCTATGCTAACTTACTTTTTGAACCTTTCTAATGCACTCTGGTCAGAACTCTCATTATTACCCAAGTACAATACCATTTTGAATTGCATGGTTTCATGGGCATGTGCTACACATTAGCTGTAGTTTTCGTTGCTGCTGGTGTTTTTATAATCACGGGTTTTGTCAAATTTTCTGGTGTTTTAGCTAACATAATGTGGTAAGTAGAATTTGTGAATCCATATCAATTTTTTTTTGATAATAAAGTAATTAAAGGAAAAGGACAAAAATGAAAAAAGGCTTCCACTCAGTTGCTAATAATCTACCTAATGATGTAATTCAATGTAGAAAGATTTTACAGAACAATTTTGTTGTTACTATTTATATAACCTAAGCAATGTTACATTTAAGCCATTTGCAACTGTATTTATCATGTATTACTTTACGATTAAAACTGATAATAAACATCACTAAGGGTTCTGCATGGCCTGGTACCGGAGGTGGTCCAAGGGTGTGTGTGTGTGTGATACCATGAGTACCTGCACTGGGTGACACCAACCCACTGACCTCTCTCCCCACTTCTCTTCACTCCCCCATGGCTACACATCCTCTCTTTTCTCTAGGACCAGGTGATGGAGACATCTTTAGCACTGGTCATGACTCTGGCCCTTTTCTTCAATGGACTCTGGGGTTAGTTGAGGACAATCAGGTTCATACTTCCTGGCTGTAAAAGGTGATAATAAAAACAAATAGGACAGGTGGGACTAATCTTTCTAAATAAGTACACAGATGAAGTGATGAGAGCCAGGATGCCCAAGATGCATTTTTTAGGTCCCTGTCCTTGACTTGTGGGCAGAAAAGCTTCAAAGTGCAGCTGTCTGTCTTTAAAAGCGCTGGCCCCAGTGGCCTGTTTGTAATGAGACAAACAGAGTGGGGTCCTGCTTCCCCCCTTTGTTCTATTTCCCAACCGCCTGACAGATGGCCAGTAAGACAGAGAAAAAGAAGCTCTCAAAGTGAAGACTGAAATGCATTGTATAAAAATTCACACCCCCTGCTGCCGCCCAAACTCCCTTAAAAAAGGATCAAGAGAATCCTAATGGGTACGTGACATCCTCCCTCTCTTCCCATAAAAGGAACTTCAAAATCTGGTGACGCTGGGGGAGGGGTGAGGAGGGAGAAGAAAACTGTGTAGGCAGGGGGCTGCCAGGAAAGACTGGGGTGGGGGTAGCGGGGTTGCAGGTGTGGACTCAAGGTTCTTGCGTTTACCCTTCTCCCACGTCAGCCTGCGAGAGGCTTGGAGTCCTCCGTGCCTTGGACAGGGGAGAGTGGAAGAAAATGATAACGAAGAGTTGAAGGAGTTAAGGACCCTGCCCCAGCCAGACACTCATCCTTCGCTCCCCAAACTGTAATTCACCAAGAAGGACCCAGGAATTGGCAGAAGAGAGCGAGAGTTGGGGATGGGGTGGGGTGGGGTGGGGCGAGGTGAAAGTGGTCCAGCTTTGCCCAGAGCTTGCCCTCAGTGGGAGGACGAACGCCCGAGTCTAAGAACCTACAGTAAGAGGCTGATTCCAGCTCCTGCTTTCTCCGAGTCTCTCGCGTGGCCCTGCAGCGTCCGCGCAGCGATTGCCCCCGTGCAAGTTTTGCATAGCGCTGCGGAGTGGAGGCGGCCAAGAGACCCCCGGAACCTGGGGGAGGGGGGCGGGCCTGGGGGCGCTGGGGCCCTCGGTCTGAGCCCAGCCACCGCCTGCTCTACCGAACCTACTACCCCGCCCCCACTCACCGGGCTCAGCCCCTAGGAGAGACGCGCAGGAAGCGTGTTGCTTCGCCCAGCCGAAAGGCAGAAGTTGAGAGGAGTTGGTAGCTGCCTCAGGCCGGCCGGACTTCGCGAGCAGCAGAGAGGAGAAGCCGCCGCCTCCGCCGCGGAGCCTTCGGGGCTGCCTCACTCCTGCTTAGCCCGCAGCGCGGGAGGAGACGGGTGGGGAGGGGGTCGGGTGCGCGAGAAGAACTTGAAAGTGTGAAGGAATCCGAAGCAGATGAGAAGGGAGGAAAATAAAACAAAGTGGAGACTGCAGAAAAGACTCAACCGTGGTTGATTGTATCGCCTGACGCTCCAGCAGAGGGGCTGGGTTGGGGTGTTTTTTTATTTTATTTTTTTCCCCATTCTCTCTCCCTCTTTTTTAAAGCTACACCAGCTCTCTCTTTCTCTACTATCTCTGTATCACCAAACCCTTGCTGGCTCTTATGGGCATGAAACACTCCTCCCGCTGCCTGCTCCTAAGGAGGAAAATGGCGGAGAACGCTGCCGAGAACACCGAGGTAAGGAGGCGAGAGAGCCGGGGCTCTCGGCGACCCCGGCCACCCACCCGGGACCACCGCGCCGCCGCCGCTGTTGCTGCTGCCGCCGCCACCGCCGCCGCTGCTCAGCACCTAGTGCCAAACTTTCCACCAGCTCTATCCCGCTTGCTTCTGTTGGCCGTGTGTGTGTGTGTGTGTGTGTGTGTGTGTGTGTGTGTGGTGGAGGAAGACAGTGCATGTCTCATGTCCCCTCCCTCTTGAAAATGCAAAAGAGTCGCTCTCACCCCATCACCCTCTCTTGCCACCCGCTGCTCGCTTCTCCTTCCCCCAAGTCCCAAACCCTGGGCAGCCGCGCACCCTACCCTCCCATCTGGGCTCCGTTAAGGCTCCTGGGTCCCGGCTTTGTGCAGAGCTGGGTTGGGTGATCCCGGAGCCAGGTATGTTCCCTGCAGTCTCTTGACCATCTCCTGTCGCTGCCTGGGCTTTACCCTTCAAGCTCGAGTCAGTCCCTGAGCTTTTGGTCCCCGCAGCACCGCGCAGAGTTCCAGGTCGCGAGGGCCAAGCCGAGCTGAGGGTAGGACTTGGGGCACCACTGACGGATCTTTCCCGCTCTGATCCGGGCAGGGGAGAAGTCTGCAGTCCTTGGATGTTAGAGCCGCTTCGGGGACGCTAAACCCAAGGAGGGTGCAGGGGCCGCGGCCCCCTTCAGCACCAGGGACAGCACCCACCCTGCTGCAGCCAATTCCGCGCGGGTGGTGGGGGCTACGCGCTGCCGGCTGCAGAGAGAAATGGGTCTTCAACCACTCATCCCGCAGTAGCTATTAAGAAGATGGCTCTAGCTCCGCAAACTGCTTTCTTCCCCCTCGCCTTTGACAGCCCAATAGCTGCCCTTTCTCTACTCTCGAGTTGGCCCCGAGCCGCAGAGCCCTGTTGGGCTTTGCGACCCAAGAATCGGGGTCGTGTTCCCTCGCCTTGCACTGATCTCTCTGTCATTACAACTGGACTAGTCTGTAGGCTCTGGACATCTGTAGTCATGAAGGGCATCAACACGGGCAACCCCCTTACCTTCCTGGAGAAACTGCACCGATGTGGGGGCGGAGTGGGGCATGTGTGTGAAGATCATCCCTTAATCGGTGGTAGAAACAAGGCACAGAGAGCAAACTCCTGGGTTCTATTAATAGCCGGGTGTCTGGTGGGGCTACCGTACATTTTACATATGGTTACCCATATGCAGCATGGGGCGGGGATGGGGGTGTGGCGCTGGGATTGTTCCTCTGTCTTGCTGGAATGCAAAAAGATACAGAGACCCTTCCCATCTTTCTTTCCTCGTGATTTTAACCCTGCAGCTATTCCCTTCCCCACATCATAGGCAGCAAAGCTTTAAAGAACCCCACTCTGACACTACAAGCAGTGTGTATCTGGCAACTGTCAGTTTCGAAACGAACACACTCTGGGGCTCGAAAGCAGTGGGGCATTCAGTAGCTATCGCCGTCTCCTTGAGTTTAGGGCACAGCCTGCGTGCGTGTGGTTCCCTCGCCACTTGCTCTTCCCTACCCCCACCTGATGGTTAGTGCAAGGCGAAGATATCACGGCAGAGAGCCAACCTTACCAATCCCCTGGCTCTCCGCCCTATGTAGCCCACCAGCTGAAGAGGTTTCTAAAAATAGCTCAGAGTCACGGCCACACTTCTGAAAAGCGTTGGGCAAGCAGGCACGTAGCAGTTCCTGCAGCCAGGTGGCTGGAGCCCTGGAAGCGAGAAAGAGCTTTTCCCTTATCTCCTCACCCCGCTCTGCGCTCTATTTCTTAAAAAAAAAAAAAAAAGTTTTCGCTGATCTCTAGCTTGGGCACCTCCCGCATTTGCGCGGGGTCTAGGTGCAGACCCCTGCCAGGTTCTGCAGTTTGCGGCGGCGCCTGCTGAGCTCCCCAACTCGGCGGGGGTTAAAGCAGTCCGGGGCAGGCAGAGCGACGCGCGCCAGGCTATTTTTACTTGCTTCCCCCGCAGCTCTGAGCTCCCCCTTCTTAGCAGTTGCACATGCCAGCTCTGCTCAAGGCATCAATGAAAACAGCAGTAGAGGAGACCAAGCTCTGGAAGAAAAAAAAAAAAAAAAAACACTCCGTGAGCCTGGTACAAAGGCAACTGAGGAAGGGGAAGACCCAGCTGAGCTCCTTGGTGGGGAGTGAGTCTGGGGGTTCAATTCTTAGCAACTTCCCTCGAGAACTGTGCCCAGTGGAGGCATCCAGGCAGCGTGACAATCACTTGGTTTCCCTCCAGGAACCGGCTGTTTTTGGAATAAAACAGCACTAGAGCAGTATTTCCACCAAAAATGGGGTATTGTGGGCTTGCCTGCATTTATGATGAGAGAGAAAGCCAAGGGCGCCTGTGAATGTTTTGGGGGAGGCCTTTGGTGGTGATGGTAGTGGTCCTTACTCTTCATTCAGCACACTTTTATTAAGCATTGAGACTGTACCAGGAACTACTGGGTACCAGAAATCCAAAGATGAGAACCACTCTGTCCCTGCCTTCAAGGAGCTCCCATAGGGCTACATAATCCAGATAATCCTGTAGTGCATTTTTCAGCCTTTTGATGCTATTTGCAAGCTCTTTATCACATTTCATCTTCAAAATAATCATGTGAGATAAGCAAAGTTTAGTATTTACCCCACCACCACCATTTTATAGGTGAAGACACAGAGGCTGAGAGGGCCACCAATGTCTGAAAGTCCCCTGGTCTGTTAATGATCAAGTCACATTTGGAATACAGATGGCTCCACTTCAGATGCATTTCTCTTTGACCTACACTTATTATTTCCAAAAGAATGCCATCCGTGTGAGAATGGGAGTGGGTGAGGAGTGGGAATGGGTGGGGGAAGAATACTTTGAAGAGGAAAGATGCAATGGTGGAGGTTTTGCAGACAAGGAGGATGGGATGAGGGACTCTTTCACAAGGTAAATGTAGGGAAAGATACTCTGTTGGGCAGGAAAGAAAAAGTGAAAAATAAAAATATACTGTGACCAAAGCCTCTCTGACAAAGGGAAGTAGGGAGCTATAACAGTGAGGTGTCACAGACACAGGCTTTGCAGGCATGGTTGGCCCCGAGTGGCCCTTGGTGCATTATGTCACTGCTCTGACCTCAGTTCCCTTACCTGCTACCTTGAGTTGATTCTCCTTATGGTATAGAACAGGTGTAGGCTATAAGGAAATGCTGGGGCAGCTCCTTGCACAGAGGAAACGCACAGCTAGGTTAGTTCCATTTATGCTTCCCCTGGCTCCCTTCCATATGCTTCTCTGCCTCAGTTTAAGGCATCACCACGACCCCCCTCCCCCATCAGTCTCTTCTCTTTCTCCCTTGCTCTCATGTCTCATCAGGAAACTTCTGAGGTGGTCTTCGAAATGTCTGCAAAGCCTTCAGTCCAAACCTCTGTTTCAGCCCCCTCCCCCCCAACAATGTTAGAGGCAGTTCATCTTCCCCTCTGTCCTCACTAAGGCAGTAGACTCTGAATAGTTGATCCTCATCTCTAAGCTAGCCTCATCATCACTACTTAATTGTGCTATGGAAGCATAAGTCTGTGCATAACCAGACAACTGTTTAGAAATATCCCTATGGCCTACAGGGTAAAGCCTGACTTCCTCCGTCTAGTGTACAGACCTTTATGCCCCATGAAATTTTCTGGGAAGATCACTGACTTCATGCCTGCATCCTTTGTGCATAATTCCCTTTGCCTGTGCTGCTCTTTTCCCCTTCTCTCTAGAAAACATCTTCCTCTACCTCCATGGCCCAATTCAAATGTCACTTTCTCTCAAAAGTCTTCCCAGATTTGCATTTATCTCTCACTCCCAGGGAGAATGATTGCTCCCTATTATGTGCTTCCTAACACTTGCCTCTCACTTTTTCTAATGCAAGATGATTGTTTATGTATCTATTTCTCCAGTTAGATTATGAACTGCTTTTGATATCCTCTGTGTTTAGCACTGTGTCTAACAAACAGTAAATGGTCAACCATTGTTGACTGAATTGATTCACGTGATTATGGCCAAGCTCATGAGCCTTCAGGTTTAAATCACTCATGACTTTCTGAAAATTGGGGCTCCTGTCTTCCACACTTGTGCTATTGTGTGTCTTCAAAATGCAAAATGAGCAGAGATTCTGAGAATCAAGATGCTGTAGCCACTAAAAGCATGGGTACATTTTGGTTATTCATGTACCTACTCAATATTCAGCAATTACTGATTCTTACCATGGGGTGTTCACCTGAATAGCAAATAAATGGATTAATCACAATGCCCAATTATGAACCAAGGGGGATAATGGACCCTTTTGAGTTCTCCTTGCTTTACTGATTCCTAGTGAAAGCCCAAGGCATTATTCATGGTGATGACTCCCTGGTTGTTTTTTATCACCTCAAAAGAGAGCTCCCAGGTGTGTGAAAACATTTTTAGCAAATGATTTATTTTGGATACTTTTTTAAAAAAAATCTTCTATTGACTTCTTGGCCCAGTGAGAGAGAATAATTATTGTCTAGGAGATAGCCTACAATATGACTGTGGGATTGGAGTACCAGTGAGTTGTGGGGAGAACTGAGCTGACTTCTGGCATGGTGTACGTTGGTGGGTTTGGTTTATGGATCTCTCTTCTTGAGAAGTTACTTTCAGCTGAAATGTGTGGTCCCATAATAGCATGGAAGTCAGAACTGAGGAAGAAGAGAGGCAAGAGGAGGCAAATCCCAGGTTCACTTCTCTGAGGATGGTCTGCATCTGTGTCTCTGTCCAAAGAGTGTGAGAGCTAAGGAGGCTCTGGAGTCCGATGGCCTGGTTTTAAATCCAGCTCTGGACTTGGTAGAAGTGTTACTGTGAGCAAGTTGCTTAACCTATCTGGGTCTCATCAGATTGCTGTGATGATGAAATCAATCATTTCATGCAAAGAATTTAGAATAGTGCTTTGTATACATGGTGAGCACTCAACAAAAATTTATGATTATTATCCTGATGACTTTTAGGAATCTGGCCAGAAATAGTGCAAAC